AGATCATTCACCAGGCGGTCTCAGACACTGTTCCTTTAGTCACACCAAAAGCTAGGAAGCAACTTTCACGTTAAAAATCGAATAATTTTGTTGATTAACTGTAAATTCTCAGATACAGTGTGGTTTGAAAGACGTTATTGTAGTTGGGAGCGGTATGTACTGAAAACCACCATGAACAGCTCACTTCCTAGATCGTATTTCGGTCTTCGGTGTATCGAAACTATCTTCCTTGAAACAAGACAATTGCTTCAAGCCCATCACACACGGTATTTTGAGAGTGGTTTCTCGGACCGTTTCCTTTTAAAAACCTTGTCGCAACATAGGGACCATTTAAGGGTAAGTTTAGATGTACAGTCTCTCCTCTCCAAAGCATAGAGGCAGCAAGCCGACATGCCTACGGAAACACCTTACTTCCGTTACATCCCTACTCGCCAACAGTGTGACGGAACCTCCAGACGTACACTATACTATGGTAACTGCTTTTAGTTTTACACCGGTTCAAGCAACATTTCTAGCGTGAAAGCACCTTTGAGAACATACGTTCCAGCCAGTAAAGTTCATGTCGCTTTTATGACATGCCCAACCATCACGTAGAGGTACTATCTGTCAACAATGCCTACATCTCAGTAATTTCAGCCGAGTCCGGTTCACGAGGACTCTTGTCAGGACATTTTTCTGTAGTGCAACAAAAATTTGTTCAATCTCGTAGTGTTATTCGAAATCAAATCATATTTGAGCATTTATATGAGCACTTTTAAAGTCTAAATGTTCATAATATTTTGCCAATCTTTCCATTGTATATACTATTATGTACTCACAAATGTAAGTACCTCTTCTCAATAACTCACCAATCATACACTTTGAGATTAATAACTGTTTATCACGAAGTCCGTATGCTGGTGTGAACGTGAACCTTTCGAACCTCCATGAGTAATCGTGTTTGTAGAGTATTCAGCTGAGCTAAGAGTTAAGGACCAGTGGCGTAGATATATTCACTTTTTGTGATCTACCATGTCAGTTAAATCATCATTATTTTCCATTTTATTTTCCTTTCTCTCCGTTCAATATGGTTCATTTGCATTTCTCTTTTATTTTTCCTGCCTTTGTATGTGGTTTTTTGAAGTGTGGCAACACGAACTAAGACACTTTTGAGCAAATTTCTAAGTTGAAAGCTCATTTCACCTCAGAAACACGAAATCTTCTCAACACATAAAATTGTGCAAACAATCAATCAATAATTTGGGAGAAGTTCCACTTTTAATTAATCACCTAGACAATCATTTAGGCATACCAGGAAGACAGGTGGTAAAAGGCAAACGATAAGTGAAACAATCTCTGAGAAAAATGGCACCATAATGAGCTCCCAGGATAGACGACTGGAACGCTGGAAAGAACACTTTAAGGAGCAGTTTAATTTCCCTACAGCCACACTCAACTTACCGAACATCCAACACCTCCCTGAATGGGATATACACACAGGTACTCCGTCCCCAACTGAGGTTACTAAGGCTGTCACTAGTCTGAAACAAGGCAAAGCAGCAGGACCTGATGGAATGACTCCAGAGGTGGAGACAGTTTACTCTCTGCGTTAACTAAGGTATTAGGCAGCGTCTGGGAATCAGAGGAAGTCCTATCGGGCTAGTGTAAGTCTTTGGTTATCCCGATATACAAGAAGGGAGACAAGTCTTCCTGTGATAATCACAGGGGGATTGACTTGACTAATGTGGTATCTAGAGTTTTAGGCTTTGAACTAAAGACGGTATTCGATGTTTGGCTGTGAAAGGAATGCCGAGAAAATACATTGCACTGACCAAGGCACTCACTCTACTCGAACTCATGCAGTCATGTGACAGCCTACGGCGAGTTGTCATCTGAAGTGGTGACAACTAGTGGTGTCCGCCAGGCATCCCCAGTATCCGCATTTCTATTCAATTTCATCATAGATGTACTAATGGACTTAACCCTAACTCACTTCAGACACTCAGGGATTGACTTGTTACCACCAGGGAATAATCTCGTTGACTTAGAATATGCAGATGATATGGTCCTCCTTTCTAGGTGAAGACGCTGACAAAATGCAGAGTCTTCTGAACACCTTGAGCTGCAATCTGGGAATGTTTGGCATGCGATTTTCTCCCGCCAAATGTAAGATGATGTTACAGGACTGGACTGCATCGACTCACTCCTAGCTTAGAAATAGGGAGTGAAGTGGTAGAGCACGTTGACCGCTTCACTTATTTGGGAAGTTGCATGAGCCAGTGCCAACGGGTTGATCGCTGACGAAATCTCAGCATGGATACAGAAGGCTCGTTTTGCATATGCCAGTTTACGCCATCTCTCGCGTAGACGTGATATCCGGCTGGCTGGCTATCGACCAAAGGGCGGGTGTACTGCTCAGCAGTCCGCTCCGTCCTCCTTTGTGGATGTGAGACATGACCATTCAAAGGGGAAGACATGGAAAGACTAGCTTTTTTTATTGGTGCCTGCGTTCTATCTCCTGTGTTAGATGGTGTAGCAGGATAAGTAATATTGAGGTTAGGTGTCGGTAGGGTGCTGGATAAGGAGGGGAAATCAATCGACGAGGCTGTGAAGTTACATTGACTGAGATGGTTAGGGCATATGTTACGTATGCCTAGTCATCGCCTTCCTCGACGGGGAATGTTAGCTGACATAGAATGTAAATTATTGTATATTGATTTTTATTCAAATGTCTAATCAATTTCACTCATGTATATAAATGAAGTAAAAAGTTGTGTGAGTGACGTGATATGATTATGAGCAATACTTTGTGCTCGAAACGTTATCAGTTAATATTACTGTATAAAACTGTGTGATTTATCAAAATGAAATCTTCTCTATAGTGGAGTTATACTCTGCCACAGTGCCGAAATTTTATACATATGGAAAAGAGAGAGCTAGTGGTGGTCAAACCAAAACATGGCTTCATCAGTCATTGAAATGCACAACAGTCGTCAGGATAGTAAAAACCAGTGGGTGGAGACAATTGGTGATATGGATTAAAATCGTTGTCAATGGCGCGGATGCATTCACTCTTTGTTTTTTATACTATCCAATAAAATTCTATTGTTCTTCCATATTATTATTCTTTTTTGCTCCCACTTCTGTCTATTATTTCTCTTTGGAATCTCAGTTTACTCTCTTCTCCTGTTTTGTGTGGTATATGTAGAGTGGCAACTCAAACTGCTGCACATCTTTGCAAATTTGTATGTTAAAACTAGTCAGTCAGTCACCTAGAATATGCAGATTTGTTACATTACCAATGAAAATAAAGTGGGTAAATGGATATGGGAAAAATATGTAAGTATTTTGCACTCATTGATAAATAAGTAGATCTTGGGACTGGCTTTTTAATGTCTTTGAATACTGCTGTTTATAAACTGTGGTTGGCAAAACCACATCCATGTGGTGGGAACATTGTTATTAAGAAATAAAGTTATGTTCCAGAAATCCTCCCTCCATAACCGTAGATAAATTCAGAGGAAATGGGTTCATTATATACTTAGTTGTGTTTAGAAATTAAAAAAGTCGTAAACTTGCTGTAATATGGCACCAGAATATGCACCACACAAAGTAATAAAACAATATGGGAGAAAGAGAATATTTGAAAAACATTATCTTCCGCATACCCAATATCCAAAAGTCTGTATTCAGGCAGTAGATCAACACCATCATTGTTAAATACATCTTTAGAATGTCATCGACAGCAAAGTTAAATCGAAATATGGAGATCGAAAAACGTAGTCTGACTCCATTACTGGTTGTATACAGTGGTGGTAACTGATTGTATACCCAGACATTACCTATAATGTTTATATAGGCCTCTGTTACTTTATTACTTAATTAACCAATGATATATTAAATGGTGTAAATACAGTATTTTTTAGCCTGCATTTTATCTACTCAGTTAACCTATGTTTATTTGTAGTACTGTAATGGTCAAGAAGTTCTTGGTCCTCATTTCTCTTAATGTTATTTCGATATGATCCAACCAATAAAATATACATTCCTTGCAAAGGAGTTATTACCAGTTGCATTATTTTGACTGGCAATAAGCACAGTAAATCAATAAAAACTATTTACTTATTGAAGGGAAAACAGCACAAATGTGCTTTCAAGAGTGACAGAAAAGGTAGTAGTGTTAGACATTGTTTTGAAGCTGTTGAGGTTCATAATAAATACCTTAAATTTCTAATTTACTTCAATTTCAATCATCTTCCAGTCAAGATTGCAGGTGAACTTCTTGAAGGTACCAGTGGTCTTATATATTGTGGTGGTGTTATAAAGACAATCTGTTCCAACGGAATATTATTCTCACATATTCCCACAGTTCAATACTGCATTAGCAACAGAATACTATATGTATTTGAACATTCTATTTCATGTCGTTTAATGTCAACCAAATTCACAAGCTGAGTGATTGGATAAAGAATATGAACTGTATATGTATGAATAGCGGTTTGATCAATTGAAAATATACCTTGGCTTCCGTGTCTTGCCTTCTGCTGTTACAATATGTCACCTTACAAGATACTGAATGAATACATTTATATCTGTTCAAAGTACTTTTCGTTGGTGAAAAAGGAGTCATTGGGAGATAAAGAATGATATTAACAGCTTCTATTATTGTATGTTGCTTGAAATATACTTTTTTGGTCATAATTTTATCAACTTCATTTGAATGGTCTCAGCCATACATTGATAATTCGTGTATTGCACTATCTTAACCCTCTAGGTTGGCAAGATGCATTTAGGAATTTCGTGCTGTTTGAGTTGGTACTCTGTTTAGTCGTTACCTGTACTTATTATGTATACCTCGAAGAGCAGAGACTTTAGATAACTTACTGCTGCACGAAAATATCTGTTGTATTGTCTATGCCTGTGTTTATCACTATTATTAAATAAAAAGGGGGTGGGGTGGGGAGATACAACTTATATCTGTATCACTTTTGTTATTTACTGCCTGTTTTTCTTCATTTTAGTTTTGGGATAAATAATAAATTCAAGGAAGAATTCCCCAGTGAACTACACGGTAAATTGGCTCCTGAAGAATTTGAAGAAAGCATACGCAAAATAAATGATCGTTTAGAAAGTTCACTACCTAATCATGTTAGGTGGTTTGTTTGCGGGTTGTTATGTTGTTGTTGTACAGCTGGATGTTCACTGTGGCCAGTCATTCATTTGAGTAGGCGAACAAGAAGAGATCTACAAAAGATACTGGAAGCGGAAAATATTCGGTTGTATTGTAACATTGGTTTACGTTTATCCCTAGTTAAACAGCGATCTTCTGAGACGACAACATTAATGGAATATGTAGGTTTTAAAAAAAAAATTTTCAATTTGATTACATACTTACTCTGTCCGTATCATTTCGAGCCAATAGTTTAACACTGTATTAAGTGTTGTGTGTTTTTTAACCATAAGATGATTGTTTGACATATAGATTGTGTGGGACAGCTCAGCTGCTTAGTTGTACAACGAGATCTTATTGCAAGAAGTGTTCTCACTTCATCCAAATGGTTAACAAAGGGGATTTAAGTGTCGCTATCGGGAAATTTAAGTCTCATGTGATTACTGTGCTAACTGTATGTTAGTCAACACTGAGCATCATTTTTGCCTCCAAAAGATTTAAGAACAAAGAAAAATAGTTCACTTTGGAGTTGATCAAAAGTGGACTTTTGAGATATTTTATCCACATTGAGTGGATAATTATTAAGTGTAAATAAAATATTCAGATAAAAACTCCATGTTACCCCGTATTTCTCTCGTATTATCAATCAACGAAGTGATTGTAGTGGTTTTATTTGTTGCAGTTTTTTGTGGTAGGTATAATTTGGATCATTCACCATGTTTTTAGATGCATATTTTCCACTGTCGACTAAGATCACTTGTAATTTTCCTTTGTAATGTCACAGACTGCATCATAAGTTTTACTTGAAAACAAGAAATATAAACTTGACTGCACAAAATAAGTAGCCTAAGTATAATGCATTCAATACGTGTTTGTATTATTATCTCTACTTGTGAGATTTGTAAGGTTATATTCAGTAGAAATCCATGATACTTGTCGAGATTTTATCAAGTTAAATGTAATGTTAACTGTGTAAAATAAGTAAGCAATCAATGAATCGCATTGAAGAAGAGAAGCTGGCGAAGTGAACATTTATGAATGCCTCTTCAGAAAAACAACCTCAGCTTTCAATCTTGTGTACTTTCTCCGGGATAAATTTATAGTTGTCAGCTACCTTATTTTTTGTATCACTCCTCTTCATGATGAAGGCTTGAAGCTTCAGATGTATTGTTCAGATCAAGTGAAGGTTTCGTTATCGTATATTTGATAAAGTCAACCTCTGTCGTTAAAGAATTAGAATATCTAAACTCAGTAACATCCCTTTTATAGATTGTTAGAACTTCCTGTTGTCATATTGTGATTTGCGCGTGCATTTGAACTACGACTTAAAAATATAGAGGTCAATGTTGCTGAGTAACTATACTTAAGTATCCTGATTATTATTGATCCACATTCAAAGTTATGATGTTTATAACATCATGATTCCGGTCTACACAATTCGAACTAAACGCCTACATGGATGTGTGTTTCCGTTAGGCGACTAGTTTAGGTTCACTGAATCTCCCAAGCGTCTATCTCTAGACTGTACTCTCCAGCTGGTTTCACTGCTCCTATAATACTGTCACTCGCAGTTATTCATTAGTCCTATTCAATTCATCTTTCAGTGGTTATGTTACTTGTTTAAGGGTGTATTTCCGTCATCTCACTTTTTTATTATAGAGAGTTGTGGTCTGAATTTTGCATTGAAGGCACTGCAATTATGCTGGAAAATCTTGTGGTTCATGGTAGTATAAGCGGTATTCTAACGTTGTTAATGACATTTCTTCACGCAGATATGTCTTATATCAGTTGTCTATGTAAAATGATAACATATCGTTTTCAAATATCTTGAAGACATTTTTTCTTTTGATATTGTGATTTAAATGAGTTGCAAGTTGAGTTAATGACCTTACATAACTGCTTTGTTCACATTCTACTTCAAAATAGATTTCTGCATAAAACTTCATTGTAGGCCAAAATCTTTCATAGCATAACACACTTGTGTAAAAGACATTAAGTACAAATCTCAATTTAGCAGCAAAGATGGAAAAAGCAGGATTAACTGGTTTCATGTAATCATTAACATTATGGGGTAGCGTTAAAAATAATACTGAGCAGAAACATACACTAAGGATAGAGACGAAGCAACTTAGCGGTAAATTTTTCATGTGCCTTTCTAGCTTGATATAATTGTTTTAGGTTATACTGTTAAGGCTGTAATCTGTTACAGGTGATTGCAAGGCTTTTAAGAAAAGCACGGAAGTTTCTTTCGATTTAAAATCTGCATAGGGGAAGTACATGACATGTACAGTTGTTGTTACACAATACTAAACAACTGATAGGGATAAAGCTAATACTGACAATTTTTTGAAAAAAGCTGAATTCTACTTGTTAGTTGATGCTGCTTTATTGGTTAACTGTTAAAGGTCTACTTATTGCTTAGTTATTTGGGAAATGTTTCTCATCTAGGCATTATTAAATGCTTGAAGTTTAAGGCGTTAAATCTATGGTTAGATATTCTGTGTTTTGTAAAAGGTGTAGTTAATTTTTGTGGTAACAGATTTTCTTTGGAACGCAATGAATCTTTGAATATTTATGAATAACATAAATTTAGTTCTTTTCGAAAAATTTTCCAGTGAATATGATTTTCGAAGTGGAATTTTCAGTGCTTACAAAAGTCAGTCGTTATCCTACATCAATCAGGCTTTCTCTTTAGCATATTTCGTTTCTAATTCTTTTAATTTCTTTTTGTAATTCTCATATACTGACATTAGTTTCGAATCTTTACATAGTAAGTTGTCTTTACAGAGAGGCTTACAAAGATCTATTCAGACATTTGCTACTGAAATATGAATTACTTATTTTCGGCTTTAAAAGTAGTTCTAATAATGTTTTATCTGTTTATATTGAAGTGTGTCTTCAGCTTTCTAAATTTGACTTTCTTATGAAGGATGTGTAGACGGTTTTACTGTTAAAAAGTTAAATACTCACCTATTCTGAAAAGATGCTCTCATAACTTGTTAGTTTTGCATGAAAAAGTCACATTATAGTGTTTGAATAATCTATGCTGTTAAAAATTACAACGTCTGTGACAACAACATGTCAATTTTTATAGCTATTACTCCTGTCGAGATAATAATGTGCACATGTGAAACTTACGTAGGTTTTAATTATCGACTTGATTCAATGAAATGTTGTTTTATATCAATGTACCTTTTTATTTGACTTGCATTTATGTCGTAATATGCATAACTCAACTACCGACTTTACCGTTGTATAGACTTTCTATAAATTTTATTGTATTTGCTAACCTAATAATTGAATTCAAACATTTCATGTTTTCCAAATATATAGTGGTCTTAATACGTATATTTAATATAGTCATGTGACGTTAGAAACTAATGTGTGTACTGTACTGAAAAACTGTTGGTATTTGATTTAAACATACACACTTGATATATATATATATATATATATATATATGAGTCGGTGGCACAGCGGGAGAATGCTTGCCAGCCACACAGGTGGTTCGGGGTTCGATTCCCAGCCGGCACACTCCCTTACCTCGCTAAGGCAGTAATAAGACTGGTAAAGAGGGAAGGTTGGGCATGAGATTGGCGACCACGTCCCATTAAAATAAATACCACTGCTACCGCAACTTGAAGCCCTATGTTGCACTGGGAATATAAAAGGAATAAAATAGAATAAATTATATAGATATATATATGTTTGTAGAAGAAGCTGTACTCTGAGATGTGTTCTTCTTCTCCTTCAGGTTCTGCGAATAGATCACTTACCAAAGGCGTGTATCTATTTCCCAGATTGATTTGTATAGAATGGACAGTGACTGCTTATTCAATAACAACGTTGTATCTTGCAGGCGGCGTGTGAAGATCATCGCAATTGTCAGAAAATGACAAGTTGCAATTATCATTCATAAAGTGTTATCATTACCTTCATTCCAACTTTTGTGATAAACAGTTTCCCTTTTTTTTTCTTTCTTTCTTTACATTTGCTATCTATGTTCTCTTCCTATTAAGAAGTGTAAAACACTGCTAATTTTACATCTCACCTTGTTGTTTGAAATCAAACCTATTCGAGAGAGGAAAAACCCAACCATGATTGATTGCAGGGCATTTAACAAACATTTGGACAAATACAACGTGTTATACTTTCTTTACTTTTTCTGACTTCCTCTTTGTGCTTCTTGTCACACTTTTATAGAGATGTCTCCTTTTTTGCATTTGTTCTTCATTTTTGTACATACACTGTCAATTTATTTTACTGTTCTACTTACTACTTACTTTGGATTAGTGGGTAGCGCCCTGTTATTTGTCATTTTCACTTACTCTCTATATCCTATAAGAAATTCCATTTCTTGTAGTTCAAAAATCTCTTAGTCTACCTTTTTCCCCTATTTCCTATGTATATCATAAGCATTTTATAGGCTAAGTAGTTCTGAACTATTATCTCTCTCAACCTCTTTCATCGTTTTAATCCGTTTATCCAGAATATATATATATATATATATATATGGTCACATTTTATTGTCTAGCTATTATTATTATTATTATTATTATTGTAGAGTGTATACAGACCTCGTATCCCCAATAATATTTACTTAGCGAACACTTTCTCATTTGAAATGAAACGTGTTCAAACTGACTTTAACTATTATTATTTTATAATATTATTGTTTTTACTATCATTATCATTATACTTATTACTTATCGCCGTTATCATTGCATTACTTTTGTCTTCTTTTTTCAATTTGTTAAAAAAAACACAGTTAGTTGGTAACACCAGCCAGTACCTGTAGAGCTTGTTTTCTCATTTTTGTTCAACCCTGTTGTAAATGAAACCAACTATATATATATATACATATATATATATATATATATATATATCAATGTACATTAAATATGTTATGTCAAGAATGATACTAAAGTATTCTACACACCGAGTTAGCTTTTTAGACTTATTATTTTACTCGAAGATAAGCGATTGCATTGGTTTACGCTGAACAATTGTGATTACATTTTGGTATTATAAGCGAATTATTCTATTGACCAGCCGTTTAATATATGTCTGTAATGAATATCTTGAGGTTATTCACTTTCTGGACTAGTTCGTTGTTTTCCAGTTAGCAGCATGAAAGACAGCCCGAACAGTCATCTTGTTTAATCCTTTGTATAATCGATGAATTTTGTTTCAGTCAACTGTTTCAATGCCTTTGTGTTGGCATTATAATCTTTTATATAATGATATTAATAGTAATATCTTTTAATGTAGTTAAAAGTCAAGTGTTCTTTTGTTGAAGTGATTCTATAACGGTAGAAGACAAAAGACTTCTTAAAGGAATGTTTATTTAGAATTTGGTATCTCCATATAGCGAAATTACGTACATCTTATCCTGAAAATCGTCCGCTCTTCCTATTGTGTTTCTTTGACTTCTTTTCGTGTCTCCCATGTTTTTGACGTCAAATCTATCTCTCCGCTATTTGATGTTTTTATGCCGATTAGCTTTCCTATTCATAATACTGATAAATGTTATCAGTAGTGTACGCCACAATGCTATATTTTTGAAGGGAAAAATCATTATTTAGTGGTTGTCACTTGAATCTGTTTAGAGCATGCCTGTATCACTGGTTATACCTCAATTATATCAAATGTCTGCTAATTTCGTTTTAATAACGACATGAAAATATTTGTAGGAATTTCTATTTAAACCCGATTTGTGAAATGCCGGTGACTTATCGATAAGTAAGTTTGAGTTAAATACTTAACTTTTAACGAATGGTTCTTAGGTTTTCCTTTCTTCTTTTGGTGTTGGTGTCGTAACTAATTGCGCAACCAGTTTGACTTATATTCTACTATATAAATCATAACAGTGACTTATATAATAATTATATTTGTAAAATGTCAGCGAAATTGAAATAATTAGTTCCAACGTTTCCTCTGGAAAACTTTGTTCTATAAGTTATATTTAAAGAATCTTAGATTATCTTTTTAGTATGCGAATACAAAGCAACTAGGATATATGTATATTGGCTGAGAGATTTCTAATGACACTTAATGTCCACTTTCCGTAATGTAAATACGACTGTACAGCTTGAAAATGAAGTCGTTGAAAAGAAATATGTCTTCACTGAACAAAAACTGTGTTTTTCCTTATAACTAGAATCGGTTTAATTTTACTAATAAACAGGAATTTCAAGTGTTGGTTTATAGGGATTTGATTGGTAACAGGATTTCATTATGAGCTGACAATAGTTAGAGAACCATTGGAAAACCTGTGCGTCGGTGGCACAGTGGTTAGGACTCTCGCCGACCATGCACATGGTCCGGGGTTCGATCCCCTGCCGACGCACACCCGATATCTATGGTCGGCCTGTAAATTTGGGCTACCGATATCCATGCTGAAAATTCCATACTTGTACTGAAAATACGGTGTGGTATCAAGCTGTAATCAAAATTTTTAAAAAATACTGGACAGCTGTTTCGTCCTAGTTTGGGACTCTTCAGTAGTACGCACCCACCGAGGTTCGAAACCAGGACCTTCTGGTTACAAGGCGAGCTCGTATACCATTAAGCCACTGGGACTCGATCCAATGAACAGGGCTCAAATCGCAGAATTGCAGATACAACTTGCTGGCGAGAGCAAACAGGCACGAAACCTAGATCTAAGGCCTCCTGTTGATTACCTCCAGCAATATAACAACAGCCTGAATTTATTTACCTCCATTCGCATTTTAGATTGCGTCGACCTAATGGTCTGTATTTTCGTGAACTATAATCAGTGACATGAATGACCACTTTACATAATATTTGTCGCTGTCCTAATATTCAGCTAACCAATCAAAGACCGTATGTGCTGCACAATAAATCGCCTCATGCTAATTTACGCTTGAGACAGCCACTGGAAATAGGAGACATGAAAAGCATGCATGTATTTGGCTAAATATGCACTCCACTCATTTCTAATTTCGAGTGGGACTACACGATAAGGAAAGTTTTTGTTTAGCATCGTTTCATTTAAGTGTGGTACATATTCGCTAGCTGAGATGTCTGCAGAATATTTTGCAAATGCTGAATTATCGTCTTCCTTGAAGAGCATTATTGTCTGAATTAGTGAAAAGCAGGACAAACCTTGTCTAGTTCCCTAGCAGGTCCCAAGTCCGGTTAAGGAGGGAGAGTCGGGCTAGTGACCCTACCCTCAAAAACCTATCGAACTACTACAGAAACTTCAATGCGCGAGAAAAATATGGAAAACCAACTTATTTTTCGCTGGGATCGGAGAGACAAAATGGCCCGGGCTGGTAAAAGCCTTCAGGAAACTAGTCCAGCCTATGTGTCTTCTCTCGATGAACGCAAGAATAAGAATGGGGACGAGGCTCGGAAGGCTGCGCAGGTAGCTAAAGAAATAGGAAGATGTGGTATTGGAGTGCTGGGAAACTGCGACAGCATGTGGAATGAATTAGGACCATCCAAATTGCTATCTGGAGAGTCAGTAATCTACTCCAGTCGCCTAGAGGACAACCGGGAGTAAACTGAAGGAGTGGCTATCATGACATCACTAGCTGCAGCCAAAGTCCTTATACAGTGAAGACCAAGAAGATTCAACTCAAAAGGATGGAAAGTTACAACTATCCAATGCTATGCACCTACAAACAACTCCAAACAAGAGAAGGAATATTTCTATAGTCAACTACAAACAGTAATGGACAACATCCAAAATGGTGATATCAGAATCCTCATGGGCGATATTAATGTCAAACTGGAGGCAGACAATACTCATTATGGATCGAGAGGCTGTCACCCGATGAAATGAATGACAGTGGAGAACTCTTCTCAAACTTCACTGATTTGGTGAGGGGGCAGCATGTACAAACACAAGGATTTTGCCTGACAGACACACCAAAACCAGGTAGATTTCTTCTCAGTACCGCTCAAGAAAGTGCAGACTCAGCCTGCTGGACATACAGATGTGGGCTCAGACCACTATCTAGTTCAAAAACCTTCAAGATGAAGCTGGAAGCCTTCAAAACAATTGGATACAGAACACAATTTAAGTTTAACACCCAGAAACTGAAGGACAAAACTACAAAGGATACCTTCATTACAGCCATCAAACCAAAGTCGGAGACACTACTTGATATCACCGAAGAAACCTATGTGGAAGGACATTGGAACTCTCTGAAGGTGATGTTCAAGGAAACGTATACAGATTTTTTAGAAAGGAAGAAGAGACAAGACAAGGAATGACTCTCAACGGACACCTACCCGGAAGCAAATCGAGGAGAGGAGGATGGTGAAAGGGTGGATGACTCAATGCAAAGAAGGAGAATCTGAGTTCAACGCACACTTCACTGAATAAGGCAGTGAAGAAGAGTGCTAAGAAAGACAAAAGACAATTCTACGACACACTGGAAACTGAAGCAGAACAGGCAGGCGCAGGTAAAAGAGACCTCAGGACATTACATTAGACAACCAGATCTTCATCCGGGAACAGATCAACCCAGATGATGAAACCAATAAAAGATAGTCAAGGGAACCTAGTTACCAGTCAGCTTAATAGGAGTAAAGAAAACCAGATGGAATGGAGATGTGCTGTTGACGCCTTATGTATTCCAATCGGAACCTAAGGGAGTGATATTGTTATTTAAAGCTCCAAAAGTTCATCGTTATTATTATTGTTCCTTTGGATTCCAAGTGGAATATATGGTTTCAATAACACGTCTTCACTTTGTCTTATTCTTTGTGGCCCTCTTTAGCTGGGCCCGCGATTACCTATAATCTCTCGCCTCCCCCTCGTGCGATCTAATCAGTGTCACCTTCGAACTCCCAACTCGTCGTTTTTCATTCGCGTTCCACTTGAGGGCCTAGCGCGCGAGGTCACCCAAAGGTCTCCGCAGCGTATCCCCAATCTATCTCCATTTTCTCCGACATGTTTGTTGAGCAGTCGGTTCTTTCCTATAGTTTCTCATTGCTGATTCTTTCTGGACATTTGGTCTGCTTTATGACGCGAAGGCCGCTGCTGATAAAAGTCTGCGGTAACCCGTTCGTGACGCGTCAAGTTTCTAACTCATACAGCAGAACTGACTGACTTTACATTTGTGTTAAAAATCCGGATCTTGTTGTTCGCACTGAGTGGAGATTTCAAAACTGACTTCAGAGTGTTGAAGGTGAAGCTTGCTTTTCCCATTCTGGTTTTGACATTTTCATCCGTTCCACCTGTGGTTGCAACGTTTCTTCAAACATAACTGAATTCTATGGATGACGCGGGTTCGAATCTCAGAAGAGACATGAGTTCTTTTGAGGGTGTTGATACGCCTTGCTGACTGGTGAGTACCAACAAGCACAAAAACCAGACCCAAAGCTTCCTGCTTATTGCCTCCAACCATCTAATATCAACAATCCAAAGTGCACCGTGATGGCGATCCACCTAGAATGGTGGCCACACAGCAAACTTGACTGATAGAATTCAGTCTGCAACAAACGAAAGACTAGACATACTACACTAGTCACTGACTAGTGTCTAATCAAAGTATACCTACTATCCATTTTAAAACTTTGGATTGTTGACTTAAATTGACCATTTTCTAGACTGACCATAAAACAGTCTGCAAGGAGTGGACCTAAGGGAGAATACATTACAATACCATCCTTCTGTCTGTAGATTGTTTCATTCAAAGAATATTGTACATCTCAAAAGTAGTTCCCTCAAATCTGTAATGAGTATCCGTATATTCAACTTGTTGTCTCCAATATATCTGCATATAAATCATATGGTTTTTGTCAGTGGAACGTTCATAAATAGGGATTCTACATCCAACGTGAAATTTTATTCTTCCCATTAATAAACTTGAGCAAAGCAAGAACAACAATTGTACCAGGATAATATGAGCTCATCTTTTATTATTTCGAGGATTCTTCTCAACTGGTTACAACCTGAATGATAAAAAATATGAATTACATTACATTAAACATTTGAACATACTTTTCCACGATCACAATGAGTAATTGGTAGGAAGTAAAAGTAACATTAGTCCGGAATGATTTAACTAATTAAGAGTTACAAACACTGATCGTGGAAAAGTATGTTCAAATCTTTAATGTAATGTAATTCATATTTTTTATCGTTCAGGTTGTGACCAGTTGAGAAGAATCCTCGAAGTAATAAAAGATGAGCTCATATTATCCTGGTACAATTGTTGTTCTTGCTTTGTTCAAGTTTGTTAAATTCTATGTTTTCAAATTTCACAGTGCTACGTAATGTTTGTATATTTTTATTCAATTTGCCTACTAATCCTATAATTGCATTCCCCTTAAAACTTCCATACATCCTATGAATTATTCCATAAATGACAATAGTTGTTTTGATAACTGACACTTAAATATGATTATAATCACAGATATTTTAATTGCATTTGATACTATTATTATTATTTTATGTATTCACACCTATGATTCAATTTCCTCACCGGATATAATTTCTTAAAAACCATGTATATACGATTGTACAGCTTGATAATAAATTCGTTGAAAAGGGTCTCTTCCCTAAATCACTTATTTCGATTTTTTAAGTCTTTCTAACAGGTGATTTTAAAGGATGGTCGCGTTCAACGAATCAAAATACGGAGTTAGAGCCTTTCAGCAAGTCTGATGGTGTTCCCAAAAATGACTGATTGTGAACACGTAATTCATGAACTTACGGCTTAGAAGGAATCCAGGCACTCATCGTAATTTAATTTTTCATGAATGCTTTATAAGAACTGTAGAGCACGACAGCACACTGATGTGCCGACTAATTTTATATTGTCACCGAGATACGTCGCCACTTGACGGTTATCTGTCTAGTTATCGCAAATGCTTAAGAACTGTTTTTTCACATTTGATAGTAAACTTTTGTATGATAAACTGCACTTTCCCCCTGTAATACAACTTTGTAACAGGTAACGAAAACACAGATCTAAGTATCTCTTCATCTATCAGTGTCAACTAACAGGTGGTATGAATAAGGCCCATTCCGTAATTGCAACTAAATGCACAAACCTAAACGTCTTCGTTGAGTTGCACTCTGACTTTTAAGAAGAATCTTCACAATAAAAAGTAAGCATACATTTTCAAGAACTGGTTTGCATGGATTTGATTGGTTTTCAGTTCGAGAAGCATTGGAAGCCAGGGAGTACTGGACAGCTGTCTCACACTAGTTCGGGACTCTTCATCAGTATGCACCTATGACTCCACGAGAGATCGAATGCAGGATCACCAGACTACGAGACCAGCCTGTGAACTATTCAACCCCTAGGAAGGGACCTAATGCCCCACGAATTTTAACTTCCACCAATTTGCGATTACATTGGCTGGCATCTGCGCTATATGTTGAAAAGAACAATTCTCTAAAGTATTCGTAACGGACAAAATTCAAAAGAAAAGATAATAATAACGTATTATGTACATGTTGAAGTAAATACATATATTTATATATACATCATACATTATATAAGCGCATTAAAGTAATCTGAGGTAGAGTAAGCTAGTGCGAAGAAGTAATAAATCTAAAATGCTGGTCATCAATAATTAATATGAATATCCCTATAAATACATAAGAAAAGAAAAAGATATATTATGTCATTCAAGTAATAAATATTCTATTCGGTTGAGATATCTGATAAAGTTTAGGTCCAATCCTTTTGAGTGTGACGGTAAGACGATGGGTATTTGAATTTGAAACAGTAGGATGCGAGATAACACCGTTGGCATTTGAGTTTCGCGACCGTCTGGGATTATGGGCACGAGAAATTATCGGTGCTTTACCAGCTGTATTTGATAGGTAATCATTTTTACTTCTACATGGGGAATATCGTGTATACAAATCAAAAGGAGTTACTGATTGTAATAGTGGAGGTGTGGGTATATACACCACTCTTCGGAGGCGATAGTTACATTTTGTCATACGGAAAAAATAATGCGGTCTCGGTTGGCATTTCTCAGGAGTTGTTTTAGTGTCAGGCACAGGATCTGGAGCCACAACACTTTCAGGATCACATCTGGTTACTGGTTCAGCAACTATATCAGGTGCAATGGGAGAGGGAACTGCTTGTAATAGTGGAGGTGTGGGTATATACACCACTCTTCGAAGGCGATAGTTACATTTTGTTTTACGGAAAAAATAATGCGGTCTCGGCTGGCATTTCTCAGGAGTTGTTTTAGTGTCAGGCACAGGATCTGGAGCCACAACACTATCAGGATCACATTTGGTTACTGGTTCAGCAACTATATCAGGTGCAGTGGGAGGGGGGACTGCTTGTAATAGTGGAGGTGAAGCTATGTGCACAACTCTTCGGAGGCGATAGTTACATTTTGTTTTACGGAAAAAATAATGCGGTCTCGGCTGGCATTTCTCAGGAGTTGTTTTAGTGTCAGGCACAGGATCTGGAGCCGCAACACTTTCAGGATCACATTTGGTTACTGGTTCAGCAACTATATCAGGTGCAATGGGAGAGGGAACTGCTTGTAATAGTGGAGGTGAAGCTATGTGCACAACTCTTCGGAGGCGATAGTTACATTTTGTTTTACGGAAAAAATAATGCGGTCTCGGCTGGCATTTCTCAGGAGTTGTTTTAGTGTCAGGCACAGGATCTGGAGCCACAACACTATCAGGATCACATTTGGTTACTGGTTCAGCAACTATATCAGGTGCAGTGGGAGGGGGGACTGCTTGTAATAGTGGAGGTGAAGCTATGTGCACAACTCTTCGGAGGCGATAGTTACATTTTGTTTTACGGAAAAAATAATGCGGTCTCGGCTGGCATTTCTCAGGAGTTGTTTTAGTGTCAGGCACAGGATCTGGAGCCACAACACTATCAGGATCACATTTGGTTACTGGTTCAGCAACTATATCAGGTGCAGTGGGAGGGGGGACTGCTTGTAATAGTGGAGGTGAAGCTATGTGCACAACTCTTCGGAGGCGATAGTTACATTTTGTTTTACGGAAAAAATAATGCGGTCTCGGTTGGCATTTCTCAGGAGTTGTTTTAGTGTCAGGCACAGGATCTGGAGCCACAACACTTTCAGGATCACATTTGGTTACTGGTTCAGCAACTATATCAGGTGCAGTGGGAGGGGGAACTGCTTGTAATAGTGGAGGTGAAGCCATGTGCACAACTCTTCGGAGGCGATAGTTACATTTTGTTTTACGGAAAAAATAATGCGGTCTCGGCTGGCATTTCTCAGGAGTTGTTTTAGTGTCAGGCACAGGATCTGGAGCCACAACACTATCAGGATCACATTTGGTTACTGGTTCAGCAACTATATCAGGTGCAGTGGGAGGGGGGACTGCTTGTAATAGTGGAGGTGAAGCTATGTGCACAACTCTTCGGAGGCGATAGTTACATTTTGTTTTACGGAAAAAATAATGCGGTTTCGGCTGGCATTTCTCAGGAGTTGTTTTAGTGTCAGGCACAGGATCTGGAGCCACAACACTATCAGGATCGCATTTGGTTACTGGTTCAGCAACTATATCAGGTGGAGTGAGCTCAGAATCGACACAAGGATGTTCACTAAGTAGCAATGGTGGCGCTAGGTCATTAGAAGTAGATTCCACTTTTGTATATTGGTTTTCAGTAGAACCAAAAAGTGTTGATTTTGGACAGCAAATATTATCAGTATCCTTAAGATCTAAACTTTTACAATCGTCGTTTTGATCAATACTGAATTGGGATGGCTTATTCACAGTCTTTCTTTTACCATTTGATTTGGGTGAAGTTAACTTCGGAGGTCCTACTACATCCTTTAGTGAAATAAACTCAAGATAATCTGGATTAGACAAAGGTTTACGTTCGCGCCGCCTTGTCATTGGACCAAGTAATTTAGCTTCAGCTATTAAACGAGCATCATAATTTGTGATACGCCGTTTACCGCGTAGAGTAGAAGATTGACTTGGTAGGTGATTGTTCACTAATGACTTATTAATATCACACTGAGATTCATGCATAAGTCGTCCCAATATCGATTCAACACCTTTTTGTGTCTTATTCTCTTCTGAAAATAAAGAAATAAAAACCAACTAGAGTTAGAGAGACCAAAAATTTGTAGCAATGATATTTTTGAACAGCTAAGAAACCCACCCCTAACAAACTGAATACAAAGATTTTTCACATCAGGGGATTTTGGGTGACATTCAAACAGCACAACTATTAAACCATACTGACACGAAATAAGGCCATACTAATGAATATTATAAGTAGTCAAACAGAGGTGAAACTTACTGACCAATGAATAACGTGATATGTTACCAACAGTACGCACCCACCGGGGTTCGAACGCAGAACCTGGTTATAAGGCAAGCTCGTAGACATTAAGCCACTGCAAGCCGATCCAATGGCCCATGAATTCTAACTTCTGCCAATTCATGACATAACGCAACCACTTCGCAATATATGACTAATTTTCTCGTAAAAATAACGACTCAAATGAGCAGACCATGAAGTAGAAAAACAAAAGGCCTTTTAAGTATACATATAGATCACAATCCTAATCATAAAGGAAGAAATTTCATGGTATCTTGACGAATGGCTAATGAGAATGTACACCAGTGTAATCTAGTATGAGAAACTATGTAAAATAACGGATTCTGAGTGCATCGAACCAATAAGCTATATCTGAAGATACATCACACATAAGTATAATGAATTTACACATTTGAAATTATTTCACCAAATACATTTAAGTCATTGAAGAAAATTGATAACCGTGAAAAGTTATGAATAGAATACCTGAAGATTTATTAACTAGGAAAGAAAATCAATTGATGCTTAGGTATTTTTTTTCAAAGTCGTTTTATTAAAAAGACTATTCTAGCAATCCAGAATCAAATCAATGTGCACCGTGATGGCGAGCTACCTAGAATGGTGGCCACGTTGCAAACCTGACTGATAGAATTCAATCTGCACCAAAGAAAGGACTAGATACACCACACTAGTTACCAGTGTCCAATCAAAGTATCCACTACAGTCCTACAAGAGGTCAATCGCGAGGCCGAATAGCTCAGTGGTAACGTCTCTGACAGCAGCACTGAGTAACGCGGGTTCGAATATCAGAAGGGACATGAGTTCCTTCAAGGTTGCAGATAGGCCTTGCTGACTGGTGAGTGCCAACTGGCACCAAACCTAGTTGGAAGGCTTCCTGCCGATTGCCTCCAACCATTTAATCCAGTTATTTGTCAAAGGAATTAATTCCATACACGGTAGTAGATTCCAGAAGCTGAATTTCATCCACTGTTATAACAGGCAAATGTTATACCCGAAAAGAATAAATACATATATTTTAAGTAAACTTTCGAAATAAATTGAAAAAGAAATCCTGCCCACTATAGTATATTTCCCTAATAAAATATTTTAACTTGATAAAGACACACAATGATACAGTGTTATTTACTGATGACGTTTCGAGCACAATTTATTGCTCATAATCGTTCCAAAGTGCCCACACAATTTTCAAACGTTTTTTGTGTAGTTCTATTCTATTATTTCCTATCCTTTGATTTTATTGGTAGTAATCTTTTCTGTATCTATGGTATCGGTGTTGCATCATTCCTATAGCATGTGTTAGGTGTAGATTCGATGGACAAAGATTAGTGATAAATAACTATGTCATAAAGTTCATTAGGATGTTCAGAGAATATTTCAACAAAAAGAAATATAGCAGTGAAGCTATGTGAAATAATGGAGATTTTTAGCTCAGGTTGATGATATTGAATTAGTTGTGTTCTCTGAGCTGGTTGATTTCGGTCGGTCGGTCGGTTTTCGACATAGAACTTTGCACATATGTGCGGCAGTTCAAGTCGCCACAATCTATGTAGCACGCAAAGCAAGAGAAGGAAGTAGAAGAAATGCATAATGGAAACAGTAAACAGAGGTGTGAGACAAAGGAATAGTAATAACGAAGAACAATACAGTTTATTTGGAAATCATAAGTCACAAGGAGTGGATGCATCTGCGCCACTGAGAACGATTTTGAGCCATGTCACCAATTGTTTCCAACCATTGGTCTAAACCGTCCCGAGGACCCCAACCAGGAAGTCTACATCTTCCTACGTGGCTTAGATTAACTGTTGTAGATTTCATTGATTGGTGCCATGTTTTCGTTTGACCGCCGCTAGCTCTTTTCCAGCCTGACCCTATATCAGCTAACATTGCCCGTCGAGGAAGGCGATGACTAGGCATACGTAGCACATGTCCTAACCATCTCAGTCGAAGTAATTTCACCGTTTCGTCGATTGATTTCCCCGCCTTACCTAGCACTCGACGCCTAACCTCAATATTGCTCACCTTTTTATACCACTTCACGCGGGAGATAGAACGCAGACACCGATGATCGAACACAGCTAATCTTTTCATGTCTTCTGCTCTCAATGGCCAGGTCTCACAGCCATAAAGGAGGACGGAGCGGACTGTTGAGCAGTACACACGCCCTTTGGTGGATAGTCGGATATCGCGTCTACGCCAGAGACGGCGAAAACTGGCGAATGCGAACCTAGCCCTCTGTATTCGTGCTGAAATTTCGTCTGAGATCAACCCGTTGGGGCTGATGGTACTTCCCAAGTAATTGAAGCGGTCAACGTGTTCTACCACTTCACTTCCTATTTCTAATCTAGGGGTCGATGAGGTCCAATCATGCAGCATCATCTTACATCTTACAGGGGCGAATCGCATGCCAAACATACGGAGATTGTTGCTCAGGGTGTTCAGTAGACTCTGCATTTTGTCAGAGTCCTCGCCTAGAAGGACTATATCGTCCGCATATTCTAAGTCAACGAGATTCTTCCCTGGTAGCAAGTCAATCCCTGAGTCGCTGAAGTGTGATAGGGTTAAATCCATTAGTACGTCTATGATGAAATTGAATAGGAATGGGGATAATGGGCATCCTTGACGGACGCCACTAGTCGTCACCACTTCAGATGACAACTCGCCATAAGCCCTCACCTGGCTGCATGAGTACGAGTAGAGTGCCTTAATCAGTGCAATGTATTTTCTTGGCATTCCCTTTACAGCCAAGCATCGCCAGAGAACCTCCCGGTCGACAGAATCGAAAGCCGCCTTTAGGTCAAGAAATATAATGATTGTCGGACGCCGGTAGGAATGCCTATGTTCTAGAATCTGTCGAAGGGTGAAGATATGATCAATACACCCTCTACCTGGCCTAAAACCTGCCTGGTTTTCTCGTGTTTGTGTCTCCCGAGCACCACTTAATCTACGCAGTATTATTGAGCCTAGGATTTTAGATACTATATTAGTCAAGCTAATTCCTCTGTGATTATCACAAGAAGACTTGTCTCCCTTCTTGTATATCGGGATGATCAGTGACTTACACCAACCCGATGGGACTTCCTCTGATTCCCAGACGCTGCCTAGAACCTCAGTTAACGCAGACAGTAAACTGTCTCCACCGTACTTAAATACCTCTGGAGTCAATAAGTCAGGTCCCGCTGCTTTGCCTTGCTTCAGATTGGTGACAGCTTTAGTAACCTCAGTTAAGGACGGAGGACCTGTGTCTACATCCCATTCAGGGAGGTGTTGGATGTTCGGTAAGTTGAGTGTGGCTGTGGGCCAATTAAACTGCTCCTCATAGTGTTCTTTCCAGCGCTCCAGACGTCTATCCTGGGAGCTAATTATGGTGCCATTTTTCTCGGAGATTGCTTCGCTTATCATTTGCCTTTTACCACCTGTTTCCCTGATAAGCCTGAATAGTTGTCTGGTGTTGCCTATCGCCGATGCTTTTTCCATCTCTTTCGCCTTTGTCAACCACCACTGTTCACGGTCCTTGCGGAGACTTTTCGTAAGTTTCTTTTTGTGCAGCTTTCGCTCCTCATTGAATTCGGAGCTCGCCGGTATAAGTCTTCTAGCATCTATCAGTTCGGATGAGGCAGTCGAAATCCAATGGCTTTTACTCACCTTTGGATTTACCTTATTCACAGCTTTTACAGCTGTATCTATGGCTGACTGAATATTTTCCCAGGCTTCTTCAGGGTGAGCGCAGCTGTCGAACTCAGATATGTGTTTAGCTAGTTCTTCCTCAAATAGGGACTTAGTTCCCTGGTCGAGCTGGGGACGTGATGGGTTTACCGCCAGCTGTTTCCTACGTCCGTTCAGTCGTAAGCACATACGAGCGCGGACCAGTGCATGATCGGTATCTACACACGTGTTCCAGAAGGAGCGACAATCTCCTACCGACCCACGCCAACGATAGCTTATTGCTATGTGGTCTATTTGTGTCCAGCGTTGATTTGATGATGGAGGTCGCCAGGTCAAACAGTGTCTCTCCTTGTGTTTGAAGTTAGTGCTTACAAGATACAAATGATTATCTGAACAGAACTGTAGGAGACGGTCACCGTTGTCGGTTCGCTGGCACGGAATTCCGTAAGTGCCACCTACATTCTTCTCAGATTGACACAATTTCCCTACTTGAGCATTAAAGTCACCAGCTAAAACGACTATATCTGAGCGTCTAGCCTTTCGCAGCAAACTAGACAGCTTTTGGTAGAACTCATCCTTCGTTTCATCCGAACTGCAGTCAGTGGGGGCGTAGGCGGAGATTACGAAAAGGCATCGGCGAGTAGTGCAGTCCTTTCTCCTTTTCACTGATCCGTTCAGACGGACAGCACACATTCGGCTATCTACCGGGATCCAGTCAAGTAATGTCTTTTCTGCTCTAGTACTTAAAGCTATCCCAACACCAGCTAATCCTCGTGAGCTAGCCGTCGCATCTCCTGACACCCTCAAGGTGAATTTTGCAGATTCATCCTGTTGGCCAGGTGGGGTTAGGTGAATAACCACACTTGGGTCTTGTATGCGTGTTTCTGAAACACAACATACATCAATGGCTCGGGATGCCAGAGTCTTGGCTAGTGATGCCTGTTGTCCTATTTGGCAAAGTGTCCTAACATTAAATGCTCCTATATAAAATTGGTGGCGTGGTTTTAGGAGACCATCGATGGTGGCTTTTTGGCTTCCATCGTTGTCAGTGCACACAGATTGAAGAGGAAGTGAAGAGCCATCAAGTAGAGGAGTTGCATTGGTAGAAGGAAGGCAAGATAATAGAGATGAAGATGAAGACAAAGATGAGCGAGGATTAGAGGGGTTTCGCGTGCACTTCGGATTGTGAGGGCGATTGTTACTTCCCGGCTGCCCACACCGTGGAAGTTGGTTGCGTGACCGCAGAGCCCAGGGGACAACTGCTTGAGGCCGGTCACACACGGCCTGTTTTTGTTTGTTCTTTTTTTATTTGGTGTGTCTCAGTAGCGTATTTATCACTTCTGCCCTGTGACACGGCAGCAGAAAGCGCGGTCGTTGTTAATCCGGGCCCCGACCGATCCGGCATGATATTTTGTGATGTATTTGAAGTCATAGGATTGGATTGGGTAACTGCTTTTAGTCTAACTGCTATCCAAGCAACCTTTCTGGCATGGTAGGACCTGCGGGAACATAAGTTCCAGCCAGTATAGCTTGTTGGGTCATTGCAGTGTTCAAGCCCGACCACCACGTCAAGGTAGCAGCTTTCGGTCGGTTGATTTAATTGCGAAGCTTTCGTCGTCCTTCTAGACAACGATAAAATGAATAAGAAAATTAAGAAATTTCTACCAATATGAGGCAGGGAGATGTGAAACCCTACTAAGAATTCTAAATAAAGTAGGGATTAAGCTACAAACTCACTCAGGAACAAGCTCTGTAGGTTAAACGAGTCCTATCGACCTAACTAGACAAAATAATGGAATTTACAAAATACCTTGCAATGACTGTGAGGTCAACTGCATAGGTCAAACCAGTAGATCAGGGGTAGTTAGATTATCACAACATAAGCGTAGAGAGTGACTGATTCAACGAAGATGAGTAATTTAGAGAAAAAACTCAGCAATTGCAATGCATGCGCTAACATACAACAGGGTCGGATAAAGCTGCAGTTTCCATAAGTAATACAAATGGATGTCGAGGATGATCACTGAAGGCTTGTTCATCGAAACTACACCTAACACATGCTATAGGAATGATGCAACACCGATACCATAGATACAGAAAAGATTACTACCAATAAAATCAAAGGATAGGAAATATTAGGATAGAACTACACAAAAAACGTTTGAAAATTGTGTGGGCACTTTGGAACGATTATGAGCAATAAATTGTGCTCGAAACGTCATCAAAAAATAATACTGTATCATTTTGTGTCTTTATCAAGTTAAATTATTCTGTTATAGAGCAAATACCGGTGTCATTTTTCGGATAATAATTGTTTATTCCAATGCCTACTAACGCAAGAAGACTGATTTCGGCGAGCTCCGATTACGATGAGAAGCGAAAGCTACTCAGCGTAAAATAACAAGAAGCCTTCGTAACGATCGTGAACAGTGGTGGGCGACAAAAACGAAAGAGATGGAAAAGGCATCGCGACTGGTAACACCAGACAACTATTCAGACTTATCAGGGGAACAAGTGGTAAAAGGCAAACGATAAGTGAAACAATCTCTAAGAAAAATGGCACCATGATTAGCTCCCAGGATAGACGACTGGAACGCTAGAAAGAACACTTTAAGGAGCAGTTTAATTTCCCTACAGCCACACTCAACTTACCGAACATCCAACACCTCCCTGAATGGGATATACACACAGGTACTCCGTCCCCAACTGAGGTTACTAAGGCTGTCACTAGCCTGAAACAAGGCAAAGCAGCAGGACCTGATAGAATGACTCCAGAGGTGGAGACAGTTTACTCTCTGCGTTAACTAAGGTATTAGGCAGCGTCTGGGAATCAGGCTAGTGTAAGTCATTGGTTATCCCGATATACAAGAAGGGAGACAAGTCTTCCTGTGATAATCACAGGGGGATTGACTTGACTAATGTGGTATCTAGAGTTCTAGCCTTAATAATAATGTTTACACTAAGCCTTGTTCGGGAGGAACAAACACGAGAGAACCAGGCTGGTTTTAGACCAGGAAGAGGGTGTCTCGATCATATCGTCACTCTTCGACAGATCCTAGAGCATAAGCATAATTACCGGCATCCAACAATCTTTATATTTCTTGACCTGAAGGCGGTATTCGATCCCGTCGACCGAGAGGTACTCTGGCAATGTTTGGCTGTGAAGGGAATGCCGAGAAAATACATTGCACTGACCAAGGCACTCACTCTAGTCGAACTCATGCAGCCATGTGACAGCCTACGGCGAGTTGTCATCTGAAGTGGTGACAACTAGTGGTGTCCGCCAGGCATCCCAGGTATCCGCATTTCTATTCAATTTCATCATAGATGTACTAATGGACTTAAACCTAACTCACTTCAGACACTCAGGGATTGACTTGTTACCACCAGGGAATAATCTCGTTGACTTAGAATATGCAGATGATATGGTCCTCGCTTCTAGGTGAAGACGCTGACAAAGTGCAGAGTCTTCTGAACACCTTGAGCTGCAATCTAGGAATGTTTGGCATGAGATTCACTCCCGCCAAATGTAAGATGATGTTACAGGACTGGGCTGCATCGACTCACTCCTAGCTTAGAAATAGGGAGTGAAGTGGTAGAGCACGTTGACCGCTTCACTTATTTGGGAAGTTGCATGAGCCAGTGCCAATGAGTTGATCGCTGACGAAATCTCAGCACGGATACAGAAGGCTCGTTTTGCATATGCCAGTTTACGCCGTCTCTCACGTAGACGTGATATCCGGCTGGCTGGCTATCGACCAAAGGGCGGGTGTACTGCTCAGCAGTCCTCTCCGTCCTCCTTTGTGGATGTGAGACATGACTATTTAAAGGGGAAGACATGAAAAGACTAGCTATCTTTTTTTATTGGTGCCTGCGTTCTACCTCCTGTGTTAGATGGCGTAGCAGGATAAGTAATATTGAGGTTAGGTGTCGGTAGGGTGCTGGATAAGGAGGGGAAATCAATAGACGAGGCTGTGAAGTTATATCGACTGAGATGGTTAGGACATGTGCTACGTATGCCTAGTCATCGCCTTCCTCGACGGGCAATGTTAGCTGGTATAGGGTGAGGCTGGAAAGGAGCTAGCGACCGTCAAACAAAAACATGGCACCAATCAATGAAATCCACAACAGTTAATCTAAGCCACGTAGGAAGATGTAGACTTCCTGGTTGGGGTCCTCGGGACGGTTTAGACCAATGGTTGGAAACAATTGGTGACATGGCTCAAAATCGTTCTCAATGGCTAGCTCAGATGCATCCACTCCTTGTGACTTATGATTCCCAATGAAACTGTTTTGTTCTTCGTTATTACTATTCCTTTGTCTCACACCTCTGTTTACTGTCTCTAATATGCATTTCTCCTAATTTCTTCTCTTTGTATGGTCTATGGAGTGTGGCGACTTGAACTGTTGCACATCAGTGCAAAGTTCTACGTTGAAAACAGACAGACAGATAGATGGTTAGGAATCATTAGTGGTTGAATTCTGAGTGAACAGTAACTTGCTCACCTTGTAGACTGATTGTTCTAAGTTCGATATTTGATACGGCCGTGTATGCGTACTGCTAAAAAATCGCAAACACGAACGAAATAACAGTTCAGTGCGCCTTGGTTTACAAAAGTTCTCAGACTAATGTCAATCCGTGAAGAAATCTACCCTAAAATCAATCAAATCTTCACAAGTCGAACACTCATTAACTATCAGGGATTTAGAAACCTCATAATCGACTTGAATGAAGCTGAAAGATATAAAAATTTATCTTTAAAAAAACCAATCACTGATGTATGTATTAAGTTTGTTGATCACATTATCGCTTCTAAACCACACTAATACCTGAAGCTGTATTATAACAAATAAGATTTATAACACCAAGTCAGATATATAAGGGTCTTAGGAATGTTTACTACTCAATAATTCGACAATAGCATTGAATAGCTACCTATTCCATAGTTTCTCTCATAAATATACTGTGAGAAGTATGTTGATAAATGAAAAAATTCCTTTCAAGCGAAAAGGAAACATGATTTTCATGAGTAGGTTAAACAGATAACATGACCGGTGGAAAAAGCATGAAGCACAGTTTTGCATTAACATTACGCTGCGACACTTTTAAACGGAAGGCAAAAAAAGAACATTATAAAAACTAAAAAGTATGTTGAACGTACCTGTGGCTTGCAATAAAGTAACAAGTGAACTCATTAACTTGTCAGTAGAAAGTTGGTTACACATTTCAGATGATCTTGACAATACAGCGTTATTGTTCATATTGATTTCACTATCATTGTCATATATATTATCATTTTTGTCATTATTACAATTGCCATCGTTGTCATCAATAAAGTTATTATCATTATAAATATCATTATTATCATCATCTTTCTTAATATTAATATCATTATTGTCATTAGAATTATTGTTAACATTTTTATCATTATCAGCTTTAATATCTTTATAAATACAAATTTTCTTATCATTAGTATTGTTATCCATATCATCGTCAATATCATTGATACACTTTTGAGTAACTGAATTAATGTTACAGGCGGATTTATGCTCAGGTGTAACAGACGTGCCTCTGTTATTATTATCATTATTATTATTGTTATCGTCATCATTATAAATGCAGGACATTTGGGTTGCTCGAAACATGCGATAGGGTGATCCAAGATCGGGTGTAACAGTTTTCTTACTGTTATCATTGTCACCACTAACAGTATTATTAAGATAGTCTTCACTACCATTACTGAATATCCGGGTTACTGGATCAATAGAAAATGGTGATCGATGTCCCAGTGTAACGGTAACTTCACTTTTGTTATCATTATCACTACGATTGTTGTCATTACAGCTGTTATTATCTTTATTATAATTATGCATATCGTCATGATCAGAATTGCACATTTGGGTTACTGGATGAATATAATAAGATGATCCAGGATCAGGCGTAACAGTTTTCTTACTCTTATCATTAACACTGTTATCAGTATCGTCATCATCATCATCATCATCAATACTGTACATTTTAGTTAGTGGAGGAATACGATCCGGTGATCTATGGTGGGGTGTCACAGTTTTCTTACTGTTGTCATTGCAATTATTGTCATCATTAACATTATTATCAATGTCGTCACCACCATCATCAATGCTGTACATTTCCGTTAGTGGAGGAATACGATCCGGTGATCCATGGTGGGGTGTCACAGTTTTCTTACTGTTGTCATTGCCACTATTGTCATCATTATCGTTTTTGTACGTTTGGGTTACTGGATGAATAGAGTGAGTCGATCCACGATCAGGCGTAACAGTTTTCGTACTGTTCTCATTGTTGTTATTGTCAATATCGGCATCATTATCATTATCGTCATTAATATCAATACTGCACATTTGGGTTAATAGATGAATACAATCGGACGATCCAAGATCAGGTGTAACAGTTTTCTTATTATGGTTATTAACATTATTGGCGTCATTATCATTACTGCACATTTCAGTTAACGGAGGAATAAAACCTGGAGATCCATGAACTGATGTAACAGTTTTCTTACTGTTGTCATTGCCAATATTGCTATCATTGTCATTACAGGACATTTGTGTTGCTGGATGAATATAATAGGGTGATCCAAGATCAGATGTAACAGTTTTCCTACTGTTTTTAATAACAGTACTGTCATCATTTTGATTACTAATTGGATTAGTATTATTATTGATAACAATATCGTTTTCGTTATTATCACTTGTGTACATTCGCGTTACTGGATGAATATTGTAATTTTCTCCAAGATCAGGTGTCATAGTTTTCTTAGTGTTCTCATTGTTGTTATTGTCAATATCAGCATCATTATCATTATCGTCATTAATATCAATACTGCACATTTGAGTCAACAGATGAACACAATCGAGGGATTCAAGATTAGATTTAACAGTTTTCTTATTATGGTCATTAACATTACTGTCGTCATTATCAACATTATTATGATTCTTATTATTAATATTGTCATCGTTATCATTTGTGTACATTTGCGTTATTGGATGAATATAGTAAGCTGGTCCGAGATTAGGTGTAACAGTTCCCTTGCTGCCACTATTACCATTAGTACTATTATTATTATTATTACTATTGTCACTATCGTCACTAGTATCAATACTGCACATTTGAGTTACTGAATCAATGTAATATGGTGATTCATGCACCACAGTTACATCTCTTTTGTTATCACTACGATTTTTGTCATTATAATTACTATTGTCTTTACTATTATTATCCATATCGTTATTATCAGAATTGCACATTTGGGTTACTGAGCGAATATAATAGGGTGATTCAAGATCATGTGTAACAGTTGTAACAGTTTTATTACTGTTATCATTAGCGTTGTTATCGTCGTTATGATTACTGTACATTTGGATTACTGAATTAGTACAATAGACTGATCCAAGATGAGGTGTAACTGACATATCTCTTTCGTTATGATCATCGTTACGGTCTTTATTATTAATATTATCATTATTATTATCATCAATATCGTCATCATTATCAATACCGCACATTTGAGTTACTGAATCAATATAATAGGGTGATCCAAGATCAGGTGTAACAGACGTTTCAGTTTTGTTATTATCACTGTCATTATAATCACTATCACTACTATTACTGTTATCGCTACTGTCATCGTCATCATCACCATCATCATCATCACCATTGGTGTGCATTTGGGTTACTGGATTAATGTAATAGGGTGACACACGAACAGGTGGAATGGCCGTATCTATTTTGTTATTACGATGGTCACTATCATTATAATTATTATCATTGCTATAATTATCCATATCGTCGTCATTACGATTACTGTACATTTGAATTACTGGATCAATATAATAGGGTGATACAAGATCGGGTGTAACGGTTGTATTTCTTTCGTTATTATTCTCATTATTGTCATTAGAATTGTTATCATTACTATAATTATCCATATCTCCATCATTATAATTACTATACATTTGGATTACTGGATCAATATAATAGGGTGATCCAAGATCAGGCGTAACGGTCATGTCTTTCTTCACCTTATTAGGATCATTGTTATTATTATTATTATTATTATTGCTATCATCAATATCGTCACCATTATCGATACTGCACATTTGAGTTACTGAATCAATATAATAGGGTGATCCAAGAGCAGGAGTAACAGTAGTATCAGTTTCGTCATCAGTATCACTGTGACTATCGTCATTATTTCCCCGACTATCATTGCTGTTATCATTGTTATTATCCATATCAGCATCATTATCATTGCAGCACATTTGGATTATTGGATCAATACAATAGGGTGATACTAGATGAGGTGTAACGGTCGTATATCTTTTGTTATTATTATCGTCAATAGGATTATAAATATTATCATCATTAATATCGTTACTATTGCTATCCATATCGTCATCATCATCATCATCATCATTACGGGACATTTGGGTTACTGAATCGGTGTAATACGGTGATCCAAGATCAGGTGTAACAGTAGTACCTGCGTCGTTATCATTATTTGCATCACTAACATTATCCATATCGTCATCATTATCATTACTGGACATCTGAGTTACTGAATCACTATAATAGGGTGTTCCAAGCGCAGGTGTAACAGTTGAATCACTGAAGGAATTATTTGGTGAAGTTGATGGCATACGGTCCAATAAAGGAGGTAATGGGCTATTTGAAGCACTACTGCAATCGTTGTGAACACTATATCCTAATCCGCTGCTAGTTCCATCTGATTCTTGCCATGTTACCCTGTCACAAACTGTTGGGTCATTGGAAACAGGGACTTTAATAGTACTCTTGGAAGTAAAACTTCGTTGTTCAGATAAATGACTATTCCGCAATAATTGTCTTCGTCTTTTTACAACAGATAATGAATTGTTTAGTTTTCTTCGCTCACTGTCACATGAATGCAAATTTGATTCATTTTGCAGGCAAGATGAAACGGTTTTCTTAATAGTTTTTCTTAACATGCACTTTTTATAGGGGGAAATAATTCTCGGAGTCCTGTTCTCGTGACTAATCGAATAACGTGATTTGTTTACAGAAGCTATGGTTGCAGCAATAAGTCGAGCTTTAACACGATTTAAACGATAGCCAGTATGCCGTAAAGAATATGCATTAGGCAATGCTCTACAAGCTAAACCGGTTGAAGACCCCTTCTTCAGGAAGAAATCCAATGATATAGACTTGGTGACTTGAGAACCAACCCAGTTGACAAAACGAGAATTATCTATTCAAATTTTAGATAAAGACAAAAAATAATACAAAGAGGATAAAATACTGACGACTTAGTCTTACAACTACCTTAAGATTTCCACAATCACATAAAAAGTTTCAAGTGAAGTTGAATCACACTTTATGAACACTACTATATATCATTACCGAAACTACATCAATCAAAATAAAGTCAAACACTGTGACAATAGTATAGTTAACTGGTTGAAAATATTTTATCTTAATAAGTTTTGAATGATTGTTAAATAGATGGCAAATCCTTCACCACAGTCAAATAAAAAAGCTTTTTATATATATCCATATATAAAAATTGTGTTTGTTAAATCTCAACGGAATTGAATTGAGTAATCCCAAAGTTTCGTTCGGCAAACTGGTCCGAACTTTTATCTTCAGTACTCAAAAAGAAGACAAATCAAAAGGTTCGACAGGATGTTTCAACTAAACTGTAATCCTAAAGACCATTCTGAAAATACATCTAGTCATAACATTCCAGATACGAACAAAGCGGTGGCTAATCTCTCTGATAGAAATTTATCTGGTTGTGAGCTATCGCTCATGAAAAACGGACTTAATTTTGATTTAAACAAAAGACGTTTATCGGCCTTCGAAATAGTTCCAGCGATTGAACCGTCGCTAAAGTGTGTGACAGACGAAGAGGCGAACACCATAAGACACAAAATTACAGCTATACTACTAAATCAGAAGTCAAATGAGCGAATATAAACAAAAACGAACAATTGGTATTACAACTACAGAAAGATAAATCGATTTTCATTACAAGAGCAGATAAAGGCAATATCACGGTTGTCATGAACTCTGTAGATTATGAAAAGAAAGCTATTGGTCACCTTAATATCGGACCCTATGAAAAAGTCAGCATGACAAAGTCAAGAGCGACACTGAATAAATTGAAGGCTGAAACAAGCAAAATATTACAGTCAATGAAACAGAAACTCCGTGCATCACTTTGGTTTACTCTGGCTCCGAAAAGTTGCAGTCCCTGCAGATTTTATGGGTTACCAAAAATGCACAAACCAGACGTTCCATTACGTCCAGTTGTGGATTTTATTAATTCCCCGACCTACAAACTCTCCAAATACATTTAACGAATACTGAGTCCAAATGAAATGAAAGTGGAACATGGAGTAAAGAATTCATATTAATTTAAGCGAAAAATCAACACGACTTATATTGAAGAAGACAAGGTAATGGCAAGTTTCGATGTTTATTTATTATTCACGAATGTTCCCATTGAAGATTCTCCAATTATTACTTATAGTTAGCTTCGTTCTGACAACGAACTCAGTATTTATTGTTCTTTAAATCTAGATGAAATTACAAAGGCATTGGAACTGCGTCTACGCCTCACGTAACTTACATTTAGAGGGGTTCTTTACCGTCAAACAGAAGGCATTGCTATAGGATCACCAGTGTCTCCGCTAGTCGCTAATCTGTTTGTGCACTCATTAGAAACAAATTCAGTTATGAGATGCGCTAGTGCTCCGAGAATGTGGTTAAGATACTTGGAGGATATTTTCGTCATAGTCAGACGTAGTATATTGAATGAACTTTTTCATTTAATAAACAATATGTTTGAAACCATCGAGTTTGCCGGAGAGGTTGAATCCAACGAAAGTGATTTGGCTTTCCTGGACTACTTAATAAAAAGACAACCAGATCATCAACTTAAACCTTTTTAGAAAGCCGACAAATTCAGACAGATACCTAGACTACTTTTCAGCACATCCATTTACCACCAAAGTAACTGGCCAAACATCTAGTTACTGGAGAGGAAGAGGTCAGCAGAGAATTAAAATTGGTTCAGTCCACTCTTGAATCAAATAATAATCCCAAAACCTTTATAAAAAGATATTTAAAATGTGAAGATATGGATGAATCGAAACCTATTGCTAAGAATCGGGTTAGCACAGTGGTAATACCTTAATGCAAAGAAACATCGGATGAGAATAAACCAATCCTTAACAATCATGACATAAGAGTGTATTTTACGCTCATCACTGGTGAAGGTTGAGGATAGAAAAGAAGACAACCAACAGAAATGTGTGTACCACATCAATTGTGGGGATTGCAACGCTGTATATGTAGGAGAAACTTCCAAACAGGTAAATATAAGAGGGAAGGAACATAAACAATGTCTGAAGGTGGTTCTAAAAAAACTTGAAGAAGCTAGAAAATAGATCGGCGATTGCCCTGCACTCCATAGAAACGAGAAACAAGATCGACTTTGATGGAACTGAAGTTCTACAGAAAGGTTTTGGTTTTTATACAGAAAGACTGACTGTAGAAGCCCTACATATATGGGTGAGTCCCAAAAGTTTGAACAGATGTGAAAGTGTGATGATAGCTGCAATTTCATATCTTGATGTCTGTTTCATGGCTCATATGATTGGACAAAGTTTTTTTCAAAAAAGAGATGTCATTTTCATATATAAACCTGTTATTTCAATTTCGATTAATTTCCTTGAAGAAGTTTGGACCAGTTTGCCGAACGAAATTTTGGAATTACTCATTTCAATTCCGTTGAGAATTTACAACTATTTTTAGAAATGTGTACTTCCCACTCGGATCCCAATTATTTTGGAACTATTGGGTCAAATCGTGATGAGAGTCAATAGAAGGACATCGAAAGCTACGTAAGTTAATCAACCAGCTCAGAGAACACAATATCCGTAGAATAATTCCCTTATGAATTAGTCACTGTTACTAGTTATACTACTCATGAGTAACTAAAATGTCTTGGCATAATTTCTTCATTTTTCATCCATTGTTATGCCACTAGTTGTTTCATTGGTTGATACAGTTTGTCAGAATCCAGTCCCACTGGACAACATAAACTTCGCTACTTGTAGGTTGTATATTACTTTAGTTAACTCTGATAAACAGGAAAGATTTTTCGTGTACCAGACTGTGGTGTGCGAGGGGAGTGGGGATGGTGATACTGACAGAAATTAATAAAGTATAAAAACAATAGTAAACAAGAAAATTCTCAAACAGTACATAAATAACATCATTAACAGCTTCATCAACCAAACGTTACATTGCAGATAAACTTTGTGAGTTTATTTATTCACTTTGTAATTTTAAAACACCATTTGTTTACTTTTGTCGTATATTTTGAAGTTGCAGAACAATAGGGACTCGAACAATTTTAGACTAAATTCTATTAACTTCATTATAGGTATCTAAAATATATACCTTCCACCCTGCACCAAAATAACTGAAACTATTCGGAAGAAAAGTTATACCGGGATGAGCTCATTCATAGTAAATATGAACAGCTTCACGACAGTGAAATATTTCAACAGGTCTTAGTAGATTTATTTTATCACTCATAAACACTAAAACAGGATTCTCTCTACAAATATCAAAGCAGTAAAACCGTCTACTACATTTTGATGTAACTGAATAATCCAGTCACAAGAATCACAAAAATTAACCGATCTAATAAATTTTAAACAGACATCTCGTGGTAAGGAAGATAGAAAAAGTCTTATAAATAGTCAGTTTGTTTAGTGCACCACATCAATCGTTTAAAACTGAGGAACTGCGAAGTGCTATCTTAAGACACAGAATGTTTGGGAGAAACATTAGCATTTACTTTATGGATTCTATGCACTGTTTGTGTGCTAAGAATGGTAATAAACATAAGGATTAATAAAGGTGTGAAAAGATAAATGAATTAAACTAATGTCCAAAAATGACAAAATTAAGGTTATTTATTAGACTTATTTCGGCACACCTGTTCCCTGCATTGTGTAGAATTTAATAAAAATTCAATAGGCATATTAAAAAAACCTTTCAACAAATCTGCATTAAGAAATGATTCACTTACTTGGTACTGAATTGATTCTATCACGCAGAATTTGATTATGATCAGTAGAAATGTTAAGACCACTATGAAATGCTGATTTAATATTTTTTGGATGAATCCTCTGGTCGGAGATAGTATTTGAAGGTGATAATTCATTAGTAGGATTTGTCATATCCACACTTTGGTTAAATTTGCTGAAATATCCACGACCTAATAATTCACATGTAAAACACTCGCAAGCTGCATTATTTGTATCGAAAAAGTTTGTCCCATAGTAGATGAAAATCTCGTCACCACACTTGATATCGGTTATAGCCTCTAAGCTCATACGAGCATCGGCATCACAGTTAGTTGTGAACTGAAAGAAATTGGAGAGATGAAAAAAGAAAAAGAAGAAGTGAGACATCCAATGGGAGTAACTTAATGTTTTGAAAAATAATGTGTTGACTTGATAATACCCATGATATAATTTAAAAATTTCGTGGTTAAAATCACTTATAGAAATGTGAGCATAAATTATGACAAGGACAAAAACTAATAAGAGTAGGCTGACTAGGTAGGGCTGTAAAAAATTAGTGGTAAGTGAAGGATGGTGTTTCAACTACCCTTCAGCATAGATGAATGGAACATTGAACAGGACACTTTGAGGAGCAATTTCACTAGCCTGCAGCCACACTAAGTTTGCCTAGCATCTAACATCTATAAGCAAAGGGGTGTACACATCGGTCCTCCAACTTGGCAAAGCAGCAAAACTTGATGAGAGGACTCCCAAGGCGCTTAAGGACGATGGTGATGAAGTACTGTCTGGGTTAACCGAGGTTATGTGTAGCGTTAGGTAAGGTGAACAAGCAAAGCGATCAGGTTGTGAGGCTTCACTAATTGAGATGGCTAGGACACGTGTTATGCACGCCAAGCCGTCGGCTTCTTCGTCAAGCAGTGTTAGTTGACATAGGATTAAGTTGGAAGAGTTTGGATTGGTCAAATCAAAGCATGGCACCGACTGATGAAGTCTCTGACTGTTGGTTTGAGTCATATATGGAGGTGTAGACTGCCTAGTTGGGATCTTTGAGATGCTAATAAGAAATGGCTGTAGGTGGAACAGATGCACTTTCTCTTTGTGATCTCAGACCCACTGAATCCTAATGCTTCCCCATATAAATATTCTTCCTATACATTCCCATTTATTATAGTTTATTTGCGTCTCCTTTTGTACCAGTACCTGTATGCTTTTATGAAGTATGTTAACTTGAATTGCTGCACATCATACAGAGTTCTACGCTGAGAGAGTTTCCTATCCATTGTAGAAACCTGCACTCCACATCAGAAATTCTAGAAACACGTAAGTGGTATAATACTTTGTGTTCGGCTTTCTTTGTATTTTACAACAGAATAAAAGAACTGCAGAATATGCCGGTCATATTTAGGAAGCATCCTACTTTTGTTACACTCGGAAGTCCAGTTTTGTTCTGAGGTCAGCCAATTCTAAATTTATTGTCCCATAATCAATCTTAACAGAGTATTAGTGCTTCGAGTGTTCTAGCCGACAAAGCTTTGATGGATCATAGGACTACACAATCTCGACCAACGAAAAGGGTTGAAGAACCAAATCAGGTGGGATCACAAATCTTTATGGATTACAGTTTGGAATACGTCTTACAAACGCCTACACATTTATCCAGACGAAGTATGAGTCGAATTAAAGCTTAACAATTACCAAGTCAACAGATGATATTGGCTTGAGCAGTAAGTTTGTTGTAGTGGTTTATAACGTAGGTCATGAAAGAAAATGATTGCTGAAGTAAAATAATTACTCTAAAGATGATTACGATATTACACGCGTACCCACGTCTGACTTTACACATTACTGTTTTTTATATCTCCACTGGTGTCCTTATGTTCATTCCTTTTTCTTTTCTTCTGAAGAGTTCGTTCTGCTACGATTATACATAGTATGTCCACATATACAAAATGGGTACCAAGAGATGTCACAGGCTGACCACCCCTCTGCTTCTCCTACGCAAGCTCAAGGCTAGCAAACAGTCAGCAGCATGGGATCCGCTGGGACGATATTCCAGCCCACTTCTTAGCCACCAAAGTCAGTAATCTAAGATAACTACACTTAGTGAAAGACGAACTGCACTGTATAAACAGACGATATCAGACAGTTTTACTAACGTGATGACGCCACATGATGGTAGCAATTCTCCGGAAAGCCAGGTTTCACAGAAATGCAGCACGACTGTGCGCACCGAAGTATAATAAACCCGAGTTTTGACAGCTAAGCTAACGTCAGATGGAACCAGAGGTGGCATGTAAGACCCTGGCTTTCGTCATACGGTAAGAGATCGGCTGCATCTCCTCCAAAACTCATACAACTACCTAGATGCACGAACTTATCGACACGTTTAGATGTTTCACCTGGGAGGGGTGAGTGCTAGTAAAGGTTCCTGCCAATCTTGTACTTAGACACTTACGGACACTGAACGCTGACTGAGTAGGATTTCAACAGTTTGTACGTTATCGCACAATGAGACGATATCGTCTGCATACTTGGCGTCGAAAGGTTTTCCGGAAGCAACACCACGTACGTTTTTCAGAGCTGTATCCAAAATGTTAACGATGACGAAGCCGAAGAGAAATAGTGAAGTTGGGCAATCCTAGCTAAACTCACTGTTGGGTGAGAACAGAGGTGATAGCTTGTTGTATGTGATCACTCTACCAGATGTTTCTTTACAGGCCTTCCAAGGTGTTAACAAACTTTCTCGGAACGCCTTTCTATAACAGATAGTTCCAGAAAGCCTTTCCGTAAAATGAATCAAAGGTAGCTCTGAAATCAAGAAATGCAACGGTTTTTGGCCTGAAATAGGAATGGCAGCGTCCTAATACCGTGTGTGGGAACACGACCTCAAGGAAACCCAGTCTGCTCCTGGTTAAATTAACTTATTACGCGTTTTACATAGCCTGCGAAACAAAACAGAAGTCAATATTTTAAACGCGAACGGTGGAAAACTAGCACCTCTGTGATTGTCACATGCGTTACATTAACTCACTTCAAAGGTGTGTACGATAATGGCTTTATTCCACATTTACGGAGCATTCTCACTTTACCATACTTTCCCGAATGATTCAGTCAGTTCCCCAATTACAGTCTCACCATCATTTTTAAAAAGAATCAGGTGTTTTGTAGTGTTTTAGTACTTGGATCTTCGCTTCGTTTGGAGGGTCGTTACTAACCGACCATGGAGCACTGTAGTTGATGTTGGATGCTGACGCTTTTGGCCAACTGAACTAATTCTCAAAGTGCTCGGTATAGCGTTGTAGAAGGAGCAACAGCCCCGCTTGCACTCACGTCGCAGGTAACTGATAGGTGATCTATTTGAGTCCAGGCTTGTGTGGCAGAGGGAGGATGCCACGATAATAAAAAATCTTCAGAACAGTTTTCTTGTGTAGTAAGTACAATATAAATAAGCTTGGTATGTATGCGAGTTCTTCTTAAATCTAATTAGTACAGTTGGTGAATACGTGCTTTGATGTTAACGCTGTGAAAATAACTTACTCATTTGGTTAAAAAATGAAATTAAAAATCTAAAACTTAGTTTTGTATTGTTGAATTTTTTTCCTAATGCCAAAGCAGTGAAAACTAAAATTGGATGAAATTTGACAATAAAAGTTTTCACTTGATTCGTATGAACAAATACTTCTCACTCGGTGCCCGATCATTTTGGAACTATTCGGTCAAATCTTGATCACAGTGCATATGAAATACTTTTTCATTCGTTTAATTCTGTAGATCAGAAAACTATTTGTTTCGGCAACATGCAGGCACGAAAAATTAGACAAACATGCAACACATGTAGAACAAATGACTTCCGAAAGTCATAAAACCCAACAATCATTTATTTTCCTCCGTTTGCCTCCATTTAATACCACTTAAGCAATTAGGAAGAACAACAGATTGAGCAAAGAAATATATTCCTTTTCCAATTATTTCCTCATCATCGGCTCTACATTATATATAGTTTTTACATCAAAATTTTACTAATCAAATGGTTATTTCAGTTAATCAGATTTAGGTTTAGGAGGTGGGTGAAATTAAGAGGTTAAAAGTCATCAAAACAATTAACTAATAGGTGTTAGCAACGAGACATCTAAGTTCTGAAAGAAGGGTGAAAATTAATTACGGAATTAAGTTTGAAAACCTTTATGCTCAGACTGCAGACTTAAGGCCTTCATCGGATAAGGAGGTTTACAAATTTAAGGCAACTTTAGTAGATTGTTACAAATACATGAATAGTGGAGATAATACAAACGGTATTTTAACCTAAAGGCATAAGGAGGCTTTAAAAAACGGAATCAAATGAGAATATAGTGATCTCCAGACCTGACAAAGGCTCAGTAGTCGTTGTAATAGATAGGTCTGATTACTTCGGCAAAATGGAGACTTTATTAAGTGGTGTACATAAATTTCAGAAACTATCAACTAACAAAGATACAACGGAGAGGACTGAGAGACAGTTAACAGAGTCATTAAAAAAGTTGAAACAACGAGGCCATATTTCACCTGCTTTGTATGAAACACTAGAACCTGTCGGCACGATAAGCCCTAGGTTATAAGATTTACCAAAGACTCGCTAAAACAGCTTGCCACTTAGACCAGTTCTCGACATGTCTATTTCACCATACCATTCAACTGAGAAATGGGTGGTAGAACTCTTACAAACACTGCCTAAGAAACTTGTGAAAAATAGCGTAAAAGATAGTTTTGAGTTTGTAGAGAGAATCAAGGAATTAAGTGTGAGAGGAAAATACACGATATCACTGGATATATCTTCCTTATTCACCAACGTGCCTTTGATGGGAACAGTTGATTACACAGGTACTGAATTGATAAAGTAACATATAGAGAATGGAATTCCTGAAGGAACTTCTGCTAAGGTGTACAATGAACGTAAACTTTCTGTTCAATAAAGAAATGTATAGGTAATCAGATGGTGTTGCCATGGTATCACCACAAGGCCCAATCCAAGCAGATTTTTTCCCGGCAATACTAGAGAATGGTAATATATAATCTTGATTTCTGTTGCCGATATGTCGATGATACATTTATAGTTATTGAGAAAGAAAGTGAGACTAAGGACGTATTGGATAAATTCAATAGAGCATTTCCTGACATAAGCTTCCCTAAACAAGACGAAGAAGAAAATGACTTTATCTCCTTTTTGGAAGTTCTAATGACTAAACGAACGGACGGAACAACATGTGGATGTTTGCACAGAAAACCTACTTCCACTGGACAATATACTCACTTCTTGAGTTTCGTACCTCTACAATACAAACGTAACCTGATTATATGTCTTGTTCACCGGGCCAGAGTTATCTATTCAAATGAGACGCTGAACGAAAAACTCAGTAATATTCGTCAGCTACCAAGTAGAAACAGATGTCCGACTAAATTCTTGAACAAACACATGAACTCAGAAAGTAAACAGTAGGAGGTGCCCACTATTCCCCAAAAAATCAGTGAAATCTTATCCAACTTTTGGGGAGGGTTTTCAAAAGGACCCTCAGTGCAGCTAAGCTATGCTGCATATTCACTAACCAACCAATAGTTAGCTCAAGAAATAAAGACAAACTGCTCTGTTTCGCCTCTTCCGTGTGTATTTACCAGTTCAACTGTCCGTGTGGAGCCCGTTACACCAGACATGCAACCAGACAAGTTCACAGTCAAATTTCTAAACACCTCCCATCTTGGTTTGGCAAAGGTCTGAATAGAGCTGCTATACGCAGCTCAATATGAGTTCATCTCGTCGATACTGGACATCAAGCCAGCTCTAACAAAGCATTTAAAGTTATTCATCGTATATGATCCAACATCTCATCACATGGTCTACGAGTACGACTTTTACGTACAACAGAGGCAGTTGGAACTCATCTGAACAAACTAAATCTGTGTGTTCAAAAGATATTTGTACAGCCCGTTTCTATAACATGGCCAACTACATAATTTGTATTAGTTTTTAGAAACGATTTTTGCTCCCTTCCTCTTGAAACTATCTTTTGGCTGTTATTTTTTTAAACACATTTAGCTAATTCTATTAACTTGTATGTATTTTACGTAATTCTTCTGAGTCATCCTATTCTTCTTGGTCATCATCATTTTACGAATGTCTTGATTGTGTAATAACTTGCTGTCAACCTCTCAATTTCACCCACCCACTCCCTATACCTAAATCTGATTAACTGAAATAACCATTTGATTGGTAAAATTTTGATGTAAAAACTATATATAGTGTAGAGCCGATGATGAGGAAATAATTGGAAAAGGAATATATTTCTTTGCTCAATCTGTTGTTTTTTCCAAACACCACTTACTAGTATCCTCTGCAATACATCCAGCCAACCATCTAAGAAAAACTTTTTTACAAAGTATATACGAATGAAATGAGAAACTAAACAGAGAGCGTTCATTAATGCCACCTTGCTCTTTTCGTCACTTTGAGTGGATTCAATTTCAAACTAACCAACAAGTGAATTATACATATTGTCATACTGTATAAAATTGCAAAGAATATTTCAATCATAGGTTGATACTTGAGCTTTTGCTCTTTACCTTCTATACCAACATCAAAAATTGAAAAAAATAGATGCAGCGAAATCCAGTCCGAAGAATATGTTCTAAGAGCTGGTAAAATCATAAAGGAACACTATAATCAGAACTATTTAGCCACAAAAGACATGCAAAGTAGGAAAATATGAGCGTATAACCCTAGGTAGTGAGTTTACAAAGCGAATGCACTTACCTCACAGTTAGGTCGACAGTCATGATTGACATAAGCTGCAGGACCTAACCATAATTGAGAACAGTTTTTCCTAGAGGAATACATGACTGAAAAGTCATTTTGGTGTTGCTTAAGGAATGTCGCCTCTTCATGATGTTTGAGTTCAGCGATGCATCCCACCAAAGTACTAATACGGGACCCTTTCGGCCTGCAAAGTAATTCAATTAAAATTTCATTAGCTTACCAATCTTTTGTGGCATATATTGCGGCTCCCATATGATTTTCTGACGCATAGCGCCAACAGGGTCGAATTTCAATACCGGAACGATCATCAAATAATAACAAATATCGATTGATCTGTAAATAAATGATAGTTTGACACAACATACGTGTTCCTTGAAACGGGGATCAATACTCCAAGACCGTTTTACTATGTTTGGATCGGCAGTCAGCTGGTTGAAAGCTGTATCGTAACACTTATTTTTCCGAAAGGTAGATATGATATCACAAAATTTCTTTTGGATTCTTTCTGGAATTTTTAACCTCATACTATAGATAAACATATACTAATATTTAAGACATACTCTGTCATTTTATGGGTAGTAAAGCCAAGATAAGGATCAACAGTGAGAGCAGAAGCGAGATCATCAGCTTCAGCCAGTTCCCTCCAACTCATCTGGTGGTTTCCCGTAACACACGGAATAGCATTTTTCTTCTTAGCAAGACTCATCTGTGTCACTTATTTGGATCTTTGCAGATATTCAATGCAATATACTAGGCATAAAACTAAGTCGCTTGACGAAATGAAGACAAAGGAGATGAGCTAGCTTGAGTGACCTGACTGGAGTTTCCATTACGGAATAAAATATCTGTAAGGGAAAAGATACGAGTAAATGCAATAATATGCTATTAAAAGGTACATAAAGAATAGATACCAGATAGACGACTGTCAAACAAAATGGCAATCGCTGCGGAGAAATTAGATATTAGGCATCCTTCAGGAGCTTGTTTGCATCGTTTCGCAAGACATGATAGGATCAACTTTCGTACTTGTATTTTGACGCGATTTAAAGGCAATGAACCAATGAACCAATCCGATGCAAAAGCCGTCTGAAGCTTGCAGAGACGACAAACTGTGCTTGAACACATGCATCCCAATATTACTCTTTTATGTCCATTTGAATCACTTTCCTTTTAAAACTTCTGAAGTTTGTATTTAGAAGAAAAATTCAAACTCACTGAAGTCCCGTAACTATACAGAACATGCTACATAGCACTGACACTTATTGAATAATGTGTTAAACTGGTATTTTGAGAAGACAAAATTCTAAGTCCACTTTACGAATAAAAAATAATATCATGTTAACAAGCAGTTATGATTAATATACCGAACAAAGGGTTTTACCTAGTAGTGTATTCGTAAAATTATCCGGCTATGTCAGGGCCGAGGTATTGTCATACCCCTATCTGTAAAATACATAAAACCTTGGCAAATTAAGTAAATTTCGAAGATAACAGTCGAAACAAACACGTTAGCATGTCTTCAGAATAAACCATGTGAGTAATACTCTCAAACAAAACACGTAGGTTATTAGCACTCCCTCTTGATTTGTCTAAAGTGAATTCGAAAACTTTACAGCAAACCAAGATTATTACAGGATATGTTTTCTGCGATTGCATTGGTGAACATATTGCTAGCATAACGTGGGCAACTGAATGAGAACATTACTAAAGCTAGACACTGTTATTGTGGTGAACTTTGTGTGGATACATAAGTTTTTACAACAATCTGTATCTTATGCAATAATGCCTTAGCCACCAGTAAATTAAGTGTTCTAATACAAGTATTGATTGTATGGAAGTTACAAAATCCACGATGTTTCTCTTACTTTCATTTTATCAATGCCATTATGAAGTCAGCAAAGGAAATAAATATATCCTATCAGCACAATAATTTCCTCAGCTGATGCTGACATTTACAACCTGAGTGTAAAAAACATGCTATTCTCAAACACAATTCAGCAAAAACAATTAACGACGAGTCATACTTACTAAATTCTAGAGAATAGTAATCAAAACTTGGAGCATTACAATGAATTTGGAAAAAAAATAACAAAATTAGTAAAGTAATCAATGTAGGCGCTTCATATTAATCTACTTCGGAAGCAATGAAAAACAAAACATGTCACAATATTCAATGCTCACTATAACGTCCTCACAAATCTAAACCAAGTGATATGCTGATTTATGAGAATTTTCAACGCTTTTAATTTTGATTTTTCTGCCTCAGCTGGTTATAAACACTCAAATACCAACTATGAGGTTTACAGAAAAAGATGCAGTGTTATATTGACTCCTCATAAAAGCTGTTTCCACCGTAGATCTATTAGTCTCACTTGGTTTATGTAATTCTCCAAATATCATTTACTCTTCAAAGCCAAACCTTATGTTCCTATTTAACTGTTTGATTAGTGTACATATTTCTCATTTTTGAAAGGTAAAACACAGGATTCTTTCATGTTCAGACTCAGATATTAAAAAATAGTATGCTCTTGCTACCTGTGTATATCCCTGAAACATGTACTTCTGAAAAGGTTTAATTTACTTTTTCAAAGCGTCTGTCGATGAAGCCGAATATGATTCTCTATATTACGAATGGAATATTAACGTGACATTTGAGGTAAAGTCAATAGAAGGCAGAATCAGACAACAGGCAACAAATGAGGATACTCTACTAAAGGAAAAAACTGCTCACACGCTCATTATTGGGGAGGGTATCGGTGGCCACTATGAAGCTTTGTTATAAGCTTTCATCGATAATTTTTTAATTCCTAGAGTATGTAGTAACTCATGTAGGCGTCGGCAGAACTTACCTGGCATGTTGGTTGGAATTTTCTGTGTGAATAAATTTTACTGAAATTGTGTTATATATTTTATGGATTGATAGAAATAATCACTTTTTGACAAGACATTCGGGTGTCCGCGTCATGTTATCTGACTGCGACATACAGAGTTGGTGCAGTGTTATACGGGTTTTGTGGATTCAATGTCTAAAAATTTCTGTACCTTATTGATGTGCCACTGTCTGCTTAGATGACTGCTGGGCTAACAAATGTAGGTGTCTCTCATGATTGCTGCAAGTGCATTGCAGTGAAGAGGGTAATTCCTCACTATTTCACTTAACGCATTAATTCAGTATATGGTATTGTTATACACATGGATTTTGGCGATTATGAGAACTGAGTCTAGTCAAGTCTATTATAATGATCAATCTACCGCCTGTTATACCATTCCCGTTGACGCTGTATACTTAATGCTGGAATATTTTTGGTCACCAATAGCGGAGGTGAATATCTATTGATGCAGTATCACGATTGTATGTCTAGGTTGCATTATATGACATTGTTATCCTCACCGACATCACAGGTTTATGTATCTTACAATATTTCAAGGGTTCCCTATATTGTTAACCCTGTGCATGGCTGTTTACAGTTGAGGCATGTTCAGCTTATATTTGATGGCTATAGTTTCCTAAATATGAGAATGCAATTTCGGTAGGATTCACAAAATCATTCTCACTAGACATTACTGAGATTGTGGATTAATTTCTAAGTTACACATTATCAATACTTCATTTAATGTAGACGTATTTAATGTGAAGTTGATGTGCAAGTAATCTTGATGACAGAATGCTGCCTCAACAGTATGGACGTTTCAGAGATTGTCTTGAAATTCGCGTATAATCCTCTAATACCAGAAAACGTATGAGGTATATTTATGCATATGGCGTCAATGTAAAAGCCACCTGTGGAATGCAAATACTTTTATTTCCATGAGAATTGCACTTACCATTAGTAGAATCATTGTATTCACATTGTATACTAATACGTAGAATTATCTTCCATAACTTCATGTTGTGCTGTATTTTCTAGGTATACGGAGGTTGTCAAATATGAAATCAGCGGAGACGTAAATCGATCAAACTAAGGCTAATACTCTTTATCAGAATTTTCTTTTGTAAATTAATGAAATAAATAATATACAACTTATTTCTACTTCTTCTGGACTTCTTCAGTGCGTCGCTATACTAAGGGCTTTTGTATTATGCGAATTCGGATTAGTGCATGTTAAGCGTAGTTAGTGGGATGGAGATTTACTATCGTATTATGAGACTGTCACTTTAGTCATTCGTAAGATTTCCTGTCTGTTTCTATACAATAGCACACTGTAAAAACTAAGTAGGATTTAGCAAGTTGAATGATAATTCTGTACTGTTCGATACGCTAAAGTCGCATTATCTAGCCAGTTGCAAGTCTGTATGCTGCTAAACGCCGAGTCTGTAGTACAAGTAAATGTAGTAACTTAGGCTTGATGGCTACTTCATTAATCCGTTAATATGCAGTGACATCGCCAAATAGACTGTTTGGTTGACATTGAGCTAAGAAACAATTTTATTCATTTCCACTATGCCGGTGAATCATATGACGTCATCTAATATCCATCATTTTGTGATCAACAACTGCAGTATTTGCGTATCTACTTTATGGATACTAAATAACTTGCACATTTATGCATCTAACTGCAACCAGTATTACAACAGTATCTTCTATTCATTTGATGTGTATACGCTAAACAAGTCTTTCATATATTCTCCCACAAATGCCAAGCTTTCTAGTGTCACAGGTGTTAATATGAATTGCTTCCCTGGTTTCAGTACAAATGATGTTCTAAAATATCTCCAGTCACTGAACCTTCCCTGGGGCCTAGGACCAGATAACTTGTCAAACGTTATTCTCAAAAAATTTGCAGAGATCCTGCGTTGCCCTCTCATTAACATATTTAATGAATCTTTTCCTAGGAATGTCGTGCAAGCCGTTAGGATGGATACTAAACTTGCACCTATACTTAAGACACCTACTGAAACAAGTTTTAAATTTATATCTATTGCTATTACTTCTCCTTTTCTAATAACTATGGTTAAGTTATTCTTAATATTGAATCCTCACTTAAAGTCTTCAACGATCCCAAACAATTCTTCAATAAACATTCTGGCTGACAACAAAATATTTCACATTTGAAGGAAAAATATACCAGCAGAATGAAGGAGTAGCCATGGGATCGCCAATCTCACCAATAATAGCAGACATATTCATGGATTTTTGGGAAGAGTATAAACTTAAACCATTCAGGTCATCAGTAAAATGTTAATGGAGATATGTAGACGACACGTTAGTAATAGTGAAAAAACGATGCTGTGACATTCTTCTAGCACATAAATAGTCACGTCTACTCAATGAAATTCACTATGGAAGTAGAGAATGAAATCGGGGAACTGCCTATGTTAGACTGCAAAATACGAAGGGTGACATATGGTAGCGTAAACACGACATTATATAGAAAAACTACATACTCTGAAAGATTCCTTGATTATCACTCAGCTCATCCACTTACGGTAAAACGACGATTAATTCAAGGTCTTACATATAGATTACATTAGACTTACAACAACACCAGAGGACCAGCGTAAAGAAATAAACGTCCTATTCAGAATGTTACTCGACAACAACTACCCTAAAAGATTTATCAAAGATAATATAAAAAGAGAAAAAGAGGGTAAAACCGGAGAATGACAAGACAGAATAAAGAAAAAACAGTCGCAATACCGTACAAAAGTGGTACATCAGAGGCGATTCGAAGAAACCTCAAAGTTTTGGAATTCGCGCAACGTCTAAACCCACGAATATAATCAAAAATATAATGAATCAACTGTGTAAACCATTGGAATACAATTACACTTTATTTGATCTATTCCACAATGCTCAAACTTTTTACCGACATTAATAGTGAATATACTTTAGATGCGGCTGCAGTCTTGCATCATAACATTGTCTGCAGTGTATACAAGGAGGTTGAATTTGTTCGTAGAGCCTTTAGATATCATACATATACTTTCGACTTGAAACCTGGGGATATTTTGTCCAACAAGCTTGCTGAAACTCAGTGTCAATGTCCAGGTCTAACTACCCTGGACTTAACGCTGTTCTTAGAAGACTTTCAGAAACTATTGTTAATAACCAACGCGAAAAATCAGAACACAAATTGGTGATTCAAGAATCCTATATTCTTGCGCCAATACAGAACCAACCACAAGGTTATTGTACACAAAGTCTAAGGATAAATGTTATAACAATTATTCACAATAATACTTCTGATAGTCTTTCTCCGTCTTCTAACAAACAGCGAACGATAGAACGATGACTGCAGTATCGATGACTCCCGCCAAAATATGGAGT